GCTGAGCCGCCCCTCCTAGTTATTTCTCAAGTTTTATCACCGCGGGAGCCGCTGGGAGCTGCCCGAGCCTGCCCCTCGGCTCCGCGGCGGCCGCGCCGGGTGCTCGATCGCGGGAAAGCGATCCAGGCACCCCACGTCTGCCTGCTCTCCCACGCCCCGCGGCTGCCCCGCCTTCACCAGCGCGGCCCTAGTCCCGGGGCGTCCTCCTCGCAGACGCTGCTCGTTCCCACTGCAGAACCCAAAACCGCCGGCAGGGATCCCTGCCCCAACACGGGCGCTCCTAGGTGCCAGGAACACCCTTGTCATTGGACCAGCGGATCCTCCCTCCTGGGAGGGCAAAGCCTCCTGGTTAATGCAAAATATATGTCTTCTTTCCAAATCTGACTCACACGATAAGAAAAAGGATGGAGGAGAAATTATCCCAAGTGGCATGAATAAGCTGACACTTGGTGTACCAGAAATTAAAAGCAAATAAGGGAAACTCTGATAGCTCACCATTTTCGCGCACCCAAAATCTGAGGTATTACACTCAGAGCTTTCATTTCTTGCCGATTTTGTGGCCTTATTTGAACCTCCTAAGAAAGGATTTACTCTAAGAAGTCTTATACGTAAATTACTGATTTTAGTAATTACGTAGGAATTGTACTAAGATGCAATTTTTCAGTTTATGGTAAAAGAAAAATCTACCATACAGAACCTTCGACTCTAAAATGAGGCCTCTAAATTCACTATCATTCAGCAAACGTTTATCAGGGCTCAGAGGCGTGCAGGCACTGGGATTGGAAGAAAGGAAACACAAAACCAAGTCCCTGCTCAAAGCAATTCAAAGTCCAGGGCGGAATAAAGGCAACCACCACAGCCCCAACTGCTGAACTTTTTAATAGAGAGGTAACTTACAACACTAGGGCCCATTCCTTTATTTCTCTCCAGACTGAGTTTTCGTCCTCCAAACCCCCACTCACTGGAGTCAGGATGGACTACTCCCTAGATATGAACTGCTGCTCCTCAAAGTCTATGCACAAGTTCCAAGGTCCAGACACTCAAGTCTAGATTAATCAGAGAGGGCACTGTGGCCTTCATTCATCCCACCCTGGTCACCCAAATATGCTCCTTGTCTATGTGTTTACCTAAAGTCAGGGACTTCCGTGAACTCACAGGCCTAAGCTCTCAGGACTTGGACACTGAGCTCAGCTTCCCAGTCCCGTGTCTGAGGCTTCCAAGGCTCCTATGCACCCACCAGAGATCCTGTCTCACCTCTGGAGGCCTCTGTATGGAAGAACTCTTCCAACCTCAGAGAAAGCTCTCCACACTTCACTCTAAACCATTTTTCCCTCCCATCTTCCAGACCTTCACCTTGACCAAATGACCTCAAGAAGGAGCCTCTCAAAAGTGTTTTCTGGCCCCAATCAGCCTTTAGAAAGAAGCTGAAGATAGCTCTCATCAGAAGGCAAACCGGCTAACACCTTGACTTTGGACCCTCAGCCTCCAGAATTAAATAATACTTGAGATAAGAACCAACAGAGAACAGGGGAAGGGTGGGAAGATGCTTCGGGCGAAGGGAGCCATAGCACGGCAGAGCCCTGGAGAGCACTGTGAGGGCGTCCCACAGCAAAGAAACAGAAAGGAGTTTCTTCAGAACCACCGGGTGGAAGAACTCCTGTGGCTGAGAATAGGTCAGGAAGTCAGTCTCATGACAAACCAGGCTGATGAGTTAAATGTCATCCCAAAAGAGATGGAGAACCAGCCACTCAGTCTGTAAAATTCTCACTTTTGATGAGTTAATGAACTCATTAACTTCATTAATGAACCTGTTTATGCCATGCTACAGCTTTTCCTTAATATTTAGGGAATAAAAGACTTGAAATGTTTTCCTTCATTGTAAGTAGCCCTAGTTTTCAATGATTTCAGTTTTGTCCACTAGAGTCTGACCTGATTGCCCCCATGTGGCAAAAACCGTAAGATGGATAGCTCTCCTCTGGTTAACTCAGCTTTGCCGTTTAATTAAGGAGATTGTTCAGTCTCCTCACTATATTGACAGTTACTCTGAGCTTCCATGTTTAATTTCTACAAAACAAAAGTTATAAGAATCTATCCCAGAAATCTTGTAAGTAAGCATATTGGTAATATTTTTCATTTGTATTGCAAAATTCTAGGTGCAATATGAATACCGAACAATAACTATATGGAGTATTAGTAACTATCTTGGAATTTCCTGTTTTGCTAAGGCATTTATTTGTCCATCATGAGTATGTTGGCTAAGTCCTAATAAAAAGGCTCTAATATAAATTTTATAATTTAGAAAAGAAATCTTCATAGGCAGTTATAACATAAATAGGACTTGAAGATAAATTAAAATTGCTTTTATTTTTCCTATGTAGATTATATTTTAAATGAAATTACTGAAAATTTATGAGCTTCAGTTTGAATATAGTTAGAACTGGATGCCTTCTATAATGAAGTTAATTTTAAATCCTTATGAGGCATCATAAAGCATAAAGAGTTATTCTGAAATATCTTTTTTAATACCCTTTACCCCAAACTGCAAAGTCAGTTGGAAGTCACCACTAAAAGAATAATGGACAAAAATGGGAAAGAAACATTATTTTCCCTTGTGATTTTCTTACTTTGAAGGGTCAGAGCAGCAACAATAGAAGATCAAAAATGGGAAGTGATTTGAAGCTTAAGGATAAAACTTCAGGGATCCAGGTGGACTGTAAATTTTTCAGTAGAAAGCGAGTTTACATCCTTGGTAAGAGTCCTCTGTAGCACCTCCATAGCCACAGAAAGGGTAAGGTCGAGGAGGTGGGAGCTGACCCCTGACCCACTGAGAAAGCTCCCTTGCACAACCCTGTGGCCACAGGTACTGGTCTCACACACCTCCTCATCCCAGTGGTTTATATGCGCGGTGACACAGCAAATGTGGGTCTCCTCCCTCACGCCTATAAGATGCAACCTGAGCAGCCGTCTGATCTTTGGAACAAATTTGTTGGTAAGGGGGAAGAGAAATTTATGAAAAGCCTAAATTAAAACCAAGTAAAAGTTTCATGTTAAATAGTCCTGCTTGTGACACAAGATGAGTTCTGCCCCTGAGATGGTTGCTCAGAAGCATTTTTAGAAAATTATCTAGGGTACACAGTCACAGTAATGAACAGTAACCCAGCAAACTGCCTGCTGGAGCAACAGTGAGGGAGCACGGATATGTGCTCAAAAGCCAGGAGCCCTTCCAGACTTAATTTTTAGAAATGAGCTCCCGTTCATGTCTCCACTTGCCCTTTTAGAGACGCTTCATCTCGTGCTTGAGAACTGGGCGGTCGGATTTTCTCATACTCACTGCCGTCTCCCCATTTCCCGCCATGACTCACCGCCACTGCTATGGTCAGGCCGGCCTCTAGGAGAGGATTCTGCTTTTCCTGCACGCCTTTCCCGAAGTGTGGCTGGAAGTCCTCTGCTAATTTCCCACAGCGCCATTGAGAATAGCCTTGATGTTTTGGTTATTTAAAAAGACTACTGGAGACAGCTGGAGTCAAGAGCCTCCTATAATATTGCATTGCTGCTCAGGACAAGAGCCACCCCAGAATTTCTGTCTGCCTCCCTCGTCTTCTGTCTTCCCAGGGCAAGCACCCCTCCCACCTCTCCTTCCACTGCCGTGGAAATGCTCCAGGGAGCGAAGAACCTCAAGTCCAGACGAAAAAGAGCCCCACCTCCCCTGGGACAGAAGTTTATCCTTCCTCCTTTTCCATGCTGTGTCCTTAATCCCTAGGATTAACTTCTACCCAGAGTGATTGCCAGTAGGACTGTCCGCTCCATTCAGCAGGAAACTCACTCCCACCCACAGAGGTGTGGCCTTTCACTATAACCTTGGGAACAAATCTACAAAATTCAAATATTTGTACATTTCTCAAATGCAGAACTATCCAGTTTAAGTTCCACCACAACACCAGTCCAATCCAAATAGGGTGTGCCAGGCTCAGAAAGGTTCCCTTTCCGTCTCTCCTTAATAATAAATGATTCAGAATTGTTACAATGGTTTTACTCTTCCTCTACTGAAATCTTTAGACGCCCTGACAAATATCTTCTCTTCTGCAAACACGACTTTCAAGGGAGAGAGGAGTGGTTTCTTAGTGACTTCTCACCAGGCTGGAAGGCATGGTGAGTTCCACACAGACAACAGAGCTCCATTGTGTGAGTGATAGCTTCTTACAGTAACTGGACGAACCCAGTGCAACAAAGCACTGCTACAAGGTGAATTTACTCCCTCTCCTCTTGGAACCATCCCATAATCCTTCATTTCACTTTAGTGTGAAAATCTCCTCCCAGTGGGTGAGGCTGGAGTTTCTCCCGTCTGTTCTCATATCCCCGGGAGCTCGTTTGGGCACCTGTTGTTCAAAGGGCATTGCTCAAGCATGATGGCTGCAGGTGTGAGTGGGCTGACTTCCAGATCCCATGTGTCACTCATCTGATTCACTGCCCCATCAGCCTTCCTTTTTTCCCAGAAGTTTAGGAGGACCGTCCCTCAGCATCAGCTTGGGCGAGTGACATATCCCCAGCTCAGATGCCTGTCAGCTAGCTCAGGGGGCAGAGAAACAGCTTTTCCCGTCAGTTCCCTATGGCAGCAAATTATTTAATTCAGCAATTGTTATTTACTGTTGATTTTATTGATTGTTGATGATCTAGTCCTTGATTTTATTTACTCAAGATTTATTAATCTTGGTTTGTTGTTTTCTTTTCTGCGTTCCCAGCTTCCCAAGCCCTTCTGTCACTAAATGAGGACTAGCTTTCTGCCAATTGGCTACTTAGTGTTCACGGAACAGCCCAACGCCACAACAGTTGGGTCTGTTCTGGCATTGCTTTCAAGCATCACACTTGTGTTTGTCTTTCAGTGTTGTAATGAGCTGCACACTCTACTAGTTGGGAACTTCTGGTCTTAACTTGCACCCGTCTATGTGAAGTCATACCAGATGCATATTCCTCTAAACAACTCTAATGCAAGGGTCTTGCCCAAATATTAAAAAAACCAAACCAAACAAAACAAAAAACTAGGAATATTCCTAGTAGGCATATAAGCATGTACCAGAAAGTCTATTTTGTTATCCCTTTCTCATAAGATTGCAGTGTTCTTGACGTGTGCAATAAAATTTAGCTGTTTCACAGATTCCAAGTTCTGTTTGGATGGTGCTCAGAGAAAGTCTTAATCTTAGCTATAATACTTCACTTTTAAAATGAGAATCTCTAATTGGTGATGTTGAGCAAATTTTCATGTTCCTGTTGGCCATCTACATCTCCTCTACTGCAAAAATGTCTGTTCAGTTCTTCTGCCCATATTTTAAATTTGTTTGCTCATTTGTTTGCTTTTTAATTAAGGTACAGTTGATTTAAAATGTTGTATCAGTTCCCAGTGTACAGCGTGGATGGGCGTGGAGGGCATTACGCTAAGTGAAATAAGTCAGACAGAGAAAGACAAACACTGTAAGATACCACTTACATGTGGAATCTGAAAA